CTATGCCTGAAGCCAAACCCAAACAGACCTTACAAGCCAACACAGTTTTGTTTGTTTGTTTCTGCTGGTATTGTTTAAGCCAGTCTGAGTTGGGTTTCTGTAACTGCAACCAAGTTCTGACTAACACAGCTTGTTGTGCTGTCCTACTGTGAGTCAGGCACAGCATCAGTCACTATATATGTGCCCCTCAAGGAATCTCTATAAAAATCTACTGCAATGGGTACTCTAAAAACTGAAGTTTAGCCAAGTGAAGTGACTTGTCCAGGGTCTCGCGGCCGAGCAGTAGTGAACTCCGGGAGCTCTGAATGCCAAAACCCACATCTGGCATCTCTCCGGGAAGCATCAGTGACTGACTGACTAACAGCAACTGCTCTTATGCCAACTCCTTTGTGGGTCTTTAAGCTTATTTCTGGGAAGGGTCCCAATGTGGAGGGAGGGCCCAGGAGAGGAGGAGGTCTCTAGGCCACGCCTCCAAGGCCGTGGGAACATCATAGACCAGGATGGGCCACCGGGAAAAACCTCCAGGCACACATGCCCTTGCACACACACTTTGCCCACCCCTTTGTTGCTGCCCTGTAAGTCAGGTGGAAACAGATGAGAAAAGGGAATCTGTCTGCTTAAAAAACGAAAAAGGCATCACACAAAACAGTTCTTCCGCAGCATGACCCAGACCCTAGGCACCTCCACAGAGAAGGGCAGGGTGGTCTCAGCGCCCTTGGCTCTTCCGCCCCGGCACTACCACGACTCTCCCCAGCTGCCTCCGCTGAGTCAGTATCTCTCCATGGCACAGTCTCACTCCCGCCTGCCCCCACCTACCCCCACTGTTGCCCGGTCAGGAAACTGCCTTCCACCTTCTGTCCCCTCAAACACTCCTGCTGCCTCAAGGGAACTGGAATGTGACTTTCCACCCAAAAGCCTTCTACCTTGGCACGCTCCTGCCGAGGAGCTGAGCCCTGTGCCACCAGCCCAGCCACCCCTTCTTCCTCAAACAGCTTCCAGGCCGTGCTCTGAGTCGCCTCCACCTCTTCCCTTCAGAGGTCCGGGCTGTCCCGTGCAGCAGCCGCAAGGGGCCCGCTGTCCCTCCTGAGCCTGGAGGTTCCTCTCCCAACACCCAGGTAGTACTCTGCCTGCCTCGCCTGCCCAGCCCCATCCGGCTCACACAGTTCCTGCCAACGGCCCCCGGCGCCATCCTCAGGGACATGCTCTGCCTGCCGGATGGGACCTCTTGGCTGACACTGACTCCACGGAGCACCCCCATCCTCAGCCGCACACGTCTCTCTCGCCACCCAAAACCCCACGTCCACCCGCCCCTCTTCTCCCCACGCGGGTCCTGGCTCAGGCTCCTGTGCCGGCTCTTCCTCTCCCTCACCTCTAGATATGGGTAGCATCCTGGGCTCAGTCAACAGCCCTCCCTCCTCTCCTGGGGCTCCACGAGCCACCCACGTGCCTGTGGGTCCTGCAGTGCTGGCTCCAGCCCTGACCTCCACTCTGAGCTCTAGAGCCTTCTCGACAGGGAGCCCACGGGCTTCCAGGACTTCACAGACTACCAGCAGCCTTGTCTGTCCCACACCAGCTGTGCCCTCGTCACTCGCATGCCGTGGCTAGGACACAGGAGGCATCAGTGAACATCTGTCGAGTGAATAAACACTCTGATGCCTGCTGACACCTCTGAGGCCACCAACTGGGCTCTCTAAGCACCCCCACTTACCAGCACAGCCACACTCTGTTTCCGGCCACCACCTGGATCCCACCGCCATGACTTCAAAAGCTCCTATCTACAATGACACTCTCCCCACCCTGGACCTGGCCCAGAATGCTGGACGGCTCCAGATCCGCAGCCTGCCGGCTCTCTCCCCACCAGGCCCGCAGCTCTTCCAGGCCCCCCACCCTGCACCATTCACCATGGTGGCCTCTCTCCTTGCCTTTGCAATCAGGGGTTCTCAACCTCAGCACTGTTGATGTTTGGGGACAGATAATTCCACGTGGTGGGGCTGTCCTGTGCCTTGCAGGACATTCAGCAGCATCCTTGCCTTTACACGTTAGGTGCCAGTAACATCCCCTCCCTCAGTCGTGCTGACATTGTCAATGTCCCCTGGTGGGTGCAGGGGCAGGCAAAATCACCTCCAGTTGAGAAGCACTGTGCTCGGTCACTGCACCTGCTATTTCTAGCCCTTCCCCGGGGCTCAGATTGGTGTTGGCCAAAACCTCAGACCTAGGCTGACCGGTGCAGACACTGGGCACATCACATACTATCAAGAACATCTGATCCAAACCCTCCAATCTTCCTCCCTTGCTCAGACTCTCAGCCTAGTTCATTCTCCCAACAGCCTTGGGCCACCCAGAGAGGGGAGAAAGAAGACCCAGAGCGGAAGACCCAGCTGCAGCAGGCAGGAGGGTGTTGGTGGCCCAGGACACGGGGGTGGAGGGGCAGGAGAGTGGCTGAGATTTGCCTGGATTCTCGGAAGGGCCGGATCCAGCACCCAGGGCTCTGTGACCCCAGCTGGGCAGGCAGACGCCCTGGGCACCTGGCTGGGCAGCGTTGTTCATGATCCTGATGAGCCTTTCGGCCAGGAGATGGTTGTAGGCGGTCTTCTCGGCCGCATTCGGCACTGGGAGCTGGATTCGCTCCAATTTCTCAGGATCCATGCCTGGAACAGAGAAAGAGGCCAGCGCGCTGTTAGAAGCACTCCACACTTGGGGGACGCAGATCTAGAGAAACAGAGACCAGACATAAAGGAAACTAGTCGTCCCCAACAATCATACCTTCCAGCTCTTAACCACAAACTCAATGAGCTGCGCCTGACACTCAACAAACACACCAGGCAGCAGGTTCCGACCTGGGCAGGGCAGATGCCGCTCTGCCCCTGATGGGGCGGCATTAGCAGAAACAGACTAGGCTAAACCTTGATTACAGAAAGGTGCACATACAACAAAACCAATAAAGCAGACCTGACAACAGGCAAAGGAATTATTTTTCCTTCAGTGAAAATTCAGCAGTTCCCCATGTGAAAAAGACAAAAGATGAGATGGGGGTGGGGAATGTGCAAAGTCTGTAACAACAGGCCACGTCATCATTTTCCTAAAGAAGCGTCTAGGATCCGGGGCGACGGGAGACGCGTCAGGGCTGCTGGAGCCGTCCAGGCCCCGAACGAGAGGTCTCCAAACTGCTCACCCGCTCATCTAGCACGGCCCTTGAAAATACACTTGTAGAAACAAACATTTGCCTGATCCAAGCTCAGAGAACCAAAGGGATTGTTTATGCTTGAAGCACGTCCTTTCCTGTTATTCTGCAAAAGGGGGGAAGGTGGCACTTCTCGGAACTCTTGAAATACGGCCCCTTGAGTATCGGATGACGCGTCATTTAGAACGTTGACAAAATAGTGGAAGATAGCGTGGAAGAGCTGAGCGTCTGGATTCCAAGTAACTCCTACACACACGCTGACGTAACAAACCATAACAATATATCTTGCCTCGTCGAAGTCCTTCCAGCTCCCAGCGAGAGGCTAGGTCAGAGACATGACGGCGAGGGACAGCCTGAAGGCTCGAGTTTGGTACTCCTCTCTCTCATGCTCCACAAATGTGGCTTTGTCGAAAAATTTGTTTGCAGTGAAAATGTAATTTGCAGATTCTGTACCTCATCTTGATGCTACATGTCCAACTCTGAAGCGTTCTGGCTTATAGAATGGCGATAAGAACGTCAACTGAATCTTTCCAGCATGTGTTTTTCTTAGAGCTGTCAGCACCGTCCTAACGTCTCGCCAGCCTTTAATTTCCGGCCCTTTGCGAACCGCCAGTCAGTGGTCCTGGGGGAAAAAAGGCTCCTCTGTCTCCCAGGGGTGTCACCCAACTGTGTGACCCGACCACCCCCTGCTCCCCTTCACGGAGCGCAGCGGAAGGGGCCCAGCTGCTGGCTGCTCCGAACGCGATGGTCACAGAACCACAGAAAGGGACAAACTGGCCTTGAATGTCCACGGCGAGTTCCGTTTCATTTTATCTCTTTCCTATTATTGCCTCCCCCCCCACCTTAGAATTTCTGGAAAATGATAAAATCTTTTACTGACAGGAAGAAAAATGTTCTGAGATTCTCCTCACTGGTCCCCACTGGCAGCTCCATGCTCCGATGGGAGGGGCCCAGAGGACTGACTGCGACACTGCAGCAAGGAAATGAAGGCCCAGAGACGTTAAGCTGCTTCCCCAAGGTCACAGAGCAAGTTAGAGGCACAGCGTGAACCACCCTCAGATGATTCCAAAGGTAGACTGGGTCCAGATGGGAACAGGTGGCACCATCCACACGGAGAGCCCAGGGTGCCTGCCCTCCCGTGCTGACAACAGCTACCACCTCCAAGGTGGCCTCCATGTCCCTGGGCTCACTCTCTCCCACAGAGAGTGTCAGTGTGGGAGGAATTTTGTTTTGATACTTGACCTATCTGAAACTCGGTCTCCTCACCTGTGAAATGGGAATAATTACAGTAACTACCTGCACCAGGACTGTTGTCAGGATGGAAACAGGAAAAGCACTCTGTCACAGAGTGCTGTTACCGCCTGTTATTACACACGATGGGAATTTTTAGTTTAAGCAAGCATTAATATGTTTCCATATCATTCATGTTACAAAAGGAAAGGAAGAATGAAAACAAAAGCTAAACTCGAGCTACAGAAGAAGGCCCAAAAAAGGCATGTTGAGCCGTTTGGGGCCCCTCTCAGGGGATGAGCTGCTCAGGTTGGGTTCTGAGGGATGAACAGGAGTTTACTTTCAGCTGGACAGGGAGGGCCAGGACTTGCCAGGCCAAGGGGGTACTGCAGGCAGTGGAGCAGAGCTGGGGAGGGGCCATGAGGTGGAGGATGGGAGGGACAGACAAGGCTCAGTGCCAGGACCCCTGGAGGGTGATTCGGTGGAGGGACCCACAAGCGGCAGCCAGTGGCAGGTGATGGGATCTGGTTGTGCTACGGCTGACTGTGGGGTGGTCTCCACGCTTCTGGCCCTTTCCCAGCAGACCCGCTACTGCAATACATCCCATGCGAGGTGGATTGAGCAACCGTGGAAGACAGAGAGCAGAGGCCATTCCACACAACATGTGGCGACACTGTCTAAAACAAACAAACAAACAAACAAACAAACAAAAAATCCCCTTTTGAACATCCCCTTCTTTCCCCAGAGTTCCTTCTGGGCCAGGTGGCTCATTTCCTCGCCCCTGTGTCTCTCCTTCTCGCACCATAGATGACTTCTAAAAGCCCCTGCTGCTCTGAATTGGTCACGCTGGCCCGCAGTTTTCAAGGCCTGTGCAGCAAGTCGAAGGCCCAGACATTCCTCTGGCTCCAGAAGCCTTAGGAAGCAGCTGATGGCCACTGATGACCCAGTGTTTCTCAAGCAGGCCTCACCATTTCCCAAAGTACTCAGTTGAAACAAACAACAAAAATCCCAGGTCTCTTTGGGTAAAGCCAGGGTGCCTTTGGGAGGAAGGAAGGGAGGATTCTGCTAAGAAGACAAGATTTCCTTCATATGGAAACACTGAAGAAATGGTGACCACAAGCCAGGCATGTTACCTGCAATGCCTCATCTAGTCCTTATGACATTCTATGAGGAGGTAAAATTATTTCCATTTTATAGATGAGGAAACTGAGGCTCAAAGATGACAAGGAGCTTGCCTGAGGTCACACAGATCATGGAAAAGCCCAGAGCTTAACGCAGTCCTGTGACTCCCGGGCCACCTTCCACCCTCTCTGCTGTGTCCCGTGACACTTGCTTGTTAATTCTTCTCTGTCCCTCCGCCTGCCCAAGCTACACGTGACACGGTGTCTAGCAGTGTTCTTGGCACAAAGACAACAGTTCATAAATGTTTGCTGAATTAAGTAAGTTTTAAAGGAGTTAACTAATTTCGATCAAATTTAACCCACTACAAAAAAGAGGGCGAGAGGATCAGACGTATCTCAAAATTAGAGGAAAACGTACATAAAACAGAAGCTACAACATGACAGCTGAGCAGAACAGACCAACTATCACCCGTGCACAAAAGAGACCCGGAAGAAATAAACACACTTATTAGCAATTGGTTATTGTGAGGTGGTAAAATCATAGGCAAGTGAAAAAAAATCTTATTCTCATTTTTGTCATTTTTGTTTTCTCAAACATTACATCATCATCACTATTCTTAGGGCGGCATTTAATTTGTGGAAAAGCATCTGATTTCAGTTTAAACCACCTTCCTGAAATGAAATGATGGCTCACAATTCTGAACGAATAAGGTCAATGTCACAGTATAACAGGGTCCTACATGTGCAAGGTAAGACAGCACATGTGTGCAAGGACGGACACACACACACACACACACACGCACACACACACACACGCACACACAGTTTTCAGTCGTAGAAAGGCAGGTTTTGCTGCAAACCCAATAGCATTTCTTTGCTAACCATTTCCCTCTAGAAATAAACTGAAATAAACAGTGTGGATAACATATTATCTTATTTGCTTCAACCCCTAAGTGCCTAGTGACAGAAAAATTCCAAAGAAACCCCCGATGCACTTCACAGGGCCACTAGCTTGCAGACTTCCAGCAGACCACGTGTTCCTGGCCCCCTCCCTCTGCCCAGCCTTGGGGCCAGAGCCTGCACCGCCCACGTGAGTCAGGATGGGTGTCCCCTTCTCTGCAGGGGTGGGGGTGGAACTCCCAACTCACTCATTCAAACAATCCAAAATAGACGGGAAGGGCGTGGCTCCGCAATGTGAGTTGTGCTCTCTGGACTCTTTCCTCTCGATGACAGACCCCATTCAGGGCAGGGGTGCAAAAGACCTAGACCAGGGCTGCCCTAAAACGAGTCAGACAGACAAACCTGGATAACGAGGCCATGAGAATACCAGGTAAATAATGTTCTAACTTTTAACATTTCTTTTGACCACGCAAGGTCTCCTTGGCTACAGTCCCGCCAAGCACTGCCAACTTTGGAAAACTATAAACCAAGGATTTCGAAAGCTAACCAGATGTTGGGTCGATTTCCAGTGTACTTCCAGTTCTGATTATGTGTCAGCCAAGATCCAAAGCGATGTTTTGCCAGCTCTCTGCATGGCGAATGCCTCCCTTTATCCTATTACCTTTCAGCCTTTCCCACATCTCTCATCGGGCTACTTCTCAGTGAAACCAAACACAAGGAAAAACACAAAAAGCCCAGGACTGCCCCTGGGTAAACAACGAAAGGAGGGGCGGGAGCAGAGGGCGGTGGGTGGACTGGAACCTTCAACACAAAAGCTGCAAAACTCCCCCCTACCCGCCTGCCCTTGGACTTGACAAAAGGGCGAAGGCTGCATTTTCTGTTACAGAAACGAACCGGCATCCATTACGTGGCCCAACAGAATCACGACAAGCGCCTTCCGCCAACCGGTCAACCCTTTCCACTGTGGGATATTCATTTTGCTGCAGCATCTAATCTATTATGAGTTACTGGAAGGCCTGAGCTCACATTTGGTTTTTATTAACATTGCTTTTATGTTAAAATTGTCTATGAGGAAAAATCTATCAGAAAGAGACCATCTCATTCCGGGGCCTGCTTGGGGATAAGGATCTGGAAAAGAGACTGAAGGTCAAAGCAGCTAACCGCCCGCTGCCTAACCAGAAACCCACCAGAGGCAGAGCCTGTGCCCACAGGCCAG